GGTAGGGTCCCTAGGCCTGGCTGGCGATCAGGGCCAATCTGCGGGGCAACCGGTGGGGTGATGGGGGCGGGGCCTTGCTGGCACCTGTGTTGGCCAGCCTGGCGCTGCCCGCTCACCAGCCCTACCCCCTGCCATTGCTGCTGGTTGCCTTCCTCTGTGGAACAACTGGTGGGGCGATTGGGGAGGGTGGGGGGCTCTGCTGGCACCAGCCTTGGCTGGCCTGGGGCCTGTGGGCAGGGGGTAGCTCCTGCATTAAGCGTCTGCCCCCTGGTGGTCATTGCGACAGGTTGTTCTGCTGTTCAGTCGATTTGCATATTAGGCTTTTATTATATAGGATATGCATAACCCAAGGACACAGACAATAGTAGATTTAACACTATGTTTTCTTAAGGGCTTTGAATTTGAGACTTTAGCCTTCTTTTCTTGATTGAAGACCCACATCTTACTGTGTTACAGAGAAGATGTTTCATTATTACAATCATTAAAAAGGTCCTTGGCCCTATCTTCTTCTAAAACATGGTAAAAATAATTCCTTTCTAAATTCAGACAAATCACTGAATAATCTTCTCTGAGGCTTGCTTAATTTGAAGATATATAACTTTAACTGTCAAATAAAGGAATAAGGAAGATAATCCCAGTTCAAAAGTTCTTGTAGCATATTTACTTTAATAAAGAAGTATCTTAAATATCACTTATACTCACTGTTTTTTTTTCATTTTCAACCTTGAGATTGCACACTATATTATTAATATACACATTTAACTATATTGACTGCATGATAATAAATTCTTGATTTTATTATTTCTAAAGTTACTAATTACATTAAAATAAATGCTATCTTAGGAAAAATTTGAAACATAGATGCTTGAACAGTGTATAAGTTCTTGGAGAAGCAGGGCCAGGTATGTTTTGTGTTCTTATACTATGTTCATAATATAATTTTTAAAAATTAATGCGGAAACATATTTTTATTCATTTTTATCCATTTTGGTTGAATGATACCTATGGATCTTGGCATCTCTTTAGGAAATCACAACTCAAATTTGGATACATAATGAAAAATTGCAGGATATAAATTCTAAATAAATGATTACATTTTACTTAATTTTTATTCCTCTATTTTCCATAAGCTTGTCAAGGTCTGAGCTATTGATTATAGGTGTCACAGATATCAAATTCCACCATCCAAAGTCTCCAAAGGATTATATGGCAATTGTTCTAATCCTTAGCCAATAGCTTTGAGCATCCTCAGAACAGGGATTATTTCTTAATTTAATCTTTGCATAACCAGCACCCTGGACAGTGCCAGACATAAAATAGGCACTTATCTATTTTGGAGCAGATGATACATGAATGATTTTGCCATGATAATATACTTATCTGATATATAGCTGGAGATTTGGTTCACCATGGCTTGAACATCTTTTTTATTTTGCTATAATGATATTGCTTGTATGCAAACTACTACTAAATTGTTTCAACTTCATTTTAATGAGAGATGTTACACTTGGTAAATAAAATATTACACTAAAATTCATGTTAGTATAAAAAATTATTATTTCAAGGCATTGACCTCCTTTTAGATACAAAACCACAATATTAAATGTAAGAAATTTTAATTTTTAAAAATACCCTTTTAATTTAAAAAATCTTAATTTTTAAAAATACTTTCTAAAGCAGTGTTTATTTTATTCTCATCTTTAAATTCACTAAGGAATTCTTAGAGGTAGGAGACCTTCATGTTTTCCATCCCACTCCCCACTCCCCCCCGCAAAACAAAACAAAACAAAAACAGGGTGGTAAAAGAGAATTTTCCAGTCAGATTCTTTTTAAATGTTATTATTGTGGAACAGTATGGACCAGTGTACATCTTACAGGCATCAATTCTGAATCGCCCACCAGCCCAATTCCTTAAGCTCGTATCGTATAAATACACTCTTGATGATTCCTGTTACACACATGCACTACTATAAAGAGTATGGATCCTAGCAATTGGTGCTGTATTCACAGAGGAAACGAGAGCTTGATAGAGAAGAAAATGTGCCGAGGGCAAACTCGGCTATAAACGCGCTCTGTAAACCGGTATTTGTTCTGTTTGCACTAAAGGAGTCGTGGCATCACAGGAACCCTTTGTCTGTGGGATGGTGGGTCTGGCAACCATGTCTACTCATAAAAACGACGTCTGCTGACTCCGCCCGGACTGGGGGTGGGGACGTGCACCGCGTGGAGAGCTCGACTGAGAATTAAAGTGAGCGAACAAAGAGAACTCCCCGCAGCCGCCCGCCAGCGCCTCGCAGCTGCATCGGAGACAGTCACGCCCGGAAGGCTGTTCACATCCGTCTCCCGGCGAAAAGAATCCAGTGAATAATTGATGGAGATTGAGCGAGCCCGGGACAAAGCTTTGCAGAAAAACAGTGCATCGGATTTCGAGCTGTTTTGGAACCATCTGCCCAGTACGGGATACGGGAGTGCAGCAAGTACTTTGAGCCTGGCTACAGAGCTTCCATCTCGGGCGTGGCTGGGCCTTTTTGTCTTCTTGCCACCCCCACCCCTTCCCCCGTCCCCGCCTTCTTCTCCTTCCTCTCGAAAGTAGCCTCTCTTTGGTTACTTCTACTGTGTCCTCCCTTGCAATCCCGCCCCCTCCCTTGCCTAGCCGGTGAGGTCAGCTCATGAATATCATTGCGCTTCCTGGGGAGCGTCTGGCACGGCTTGGTACCTCCGCGGTCCCCTGCTTCGAGCCGCAGCTCCAGCCCGGCCGCGGACCGCCTGGAAGTAAGCCGCTCCGGGGGCCGCGGAGTCCACAGGTTAACGCCATTGTTTGGAGAAATCCAGTGGGTGTGGAACTGGGGCCGGTGGGCCCAAAGTCCTGCTCACCCAGAAAGTCGAATATGATGCTACGAAGTTAAACGTTCCTCGTCTCTGGACAAAAACAATAAACCCTGCGGTCGCTGGAAGATCAGAAGGAAAACGCTGCTGATTTGCAACAACTTCCAACCATCTCCTCTGCTGAGAAGTGAGCGGTTCTCCTGGATTTCTAAATGGATGGGGATGAAAGACAGGGTAGGTTAACGGGTAGATAAAACTGCAGATTAAACGTGTTCCTTTGGGCTGTTCTGGGGTTGCTTGGTTGATAATTTCTGCGGGGAAGAGACACAACATCTTGTCACTTGGGGAGAACCACGTGACAGCAGTCAGATACCTTTGCTTGTGGAAGCCCAGCTTTCTCCTGGGCTAGGCCTGTCTGGGGACCGAGTTTAGTGTTCTCCGGTGGCTCTCAGCTACAGGATGATTCTGCCCAATTCAAAACAAAAATAAGTTTGCATTGGCAAAATGACTTGTTTGAGCGATCCACGTTAGTGTGACCCACACAGATGAACCAGGCCACACATTCCAGGAGTATGTGGCTCAAAGAGATCAGTAGAAAATAAGTTGGTGGACAGCTTTTACCCCCCTGCCCAAGTCTTCTTTGTTCACTTTTATTTTCCAAACTGAGTTGGAAGGAGATCCCGAGAAGAGAAAAGAAGTTGGAGACGGCCCTCCAGTAATATTTCTTTATAACATGAGGATTTACTGCGTGTTGACTAAGTTATGCTACTGAAAATAGACAATAATAAGAAAAATGCTAGTGAAGTAACTAGCAAGTATCTCGTCTCCTAACAGGAAGATTTTTCTAAAGCAGAACTTTCTGCCTAGTCATGCCCTTTACAGTGCTTTAGAGGAAAATTGTATTTCTAAGGAAAAGGCACCTAATTGACTAGCTGACTAGCTGACTAGCTAGCTGGATCACTAGGGAGAACCCAGGAGGCAATGGTTTGCTATTTTCCCGATTTTAATTACCATGGATGGCTTCTTCTTTGAAAAAATACACAATAGAAATTGGTCTTATCACCATGAGTTAGGATGCACCAGCCTTCTGGGTGCAGAGCGAGGATGCAGCAGCCTTATTGGTTGCAGGGTCATCTTGTCTCAGAATTTGGCTCCATAGGAGGGACTGGGCACTGGAAAAATATTACTCTGCCTATGATATATCATCTGAGAAGATGCTTAAGAATAAAAATATTTTCTATCTAGCAATTACACTTAAACATAAAAAAATTCACAAAACTATGAAATGTGGATAAGTGTAGAAAAAGTCATCACCTGTATTTTAAAGAAATTGTGCAATCTGTCAATAAACTTTTCTAAAAGTTTTTAAAAATTATTTCCCAACGCTTAAAAAGTAAAATCCTTTCAGAACTGCTAATGACTAAACTATATAGATGATTTCTAGTGCCATTATTTTCTTGAAAATGAAATTGATTTTTTAAATATATATATATATGTGTATATATATATATACACACACATAATATATATATATATATATTAAAAAGGAAGTTGGGTGCGTTTTTCCAACTAAGAACATTGAGAAAAGTATCATTTATCCCTAGGAAATTTTCTTCAGGAGCCTCCTTCATAACCCTTTTCCTGCAATTGACACTGGGAATATTAATTAAACAGAACCCTCTCCACTAAAGTATGCTATAAATTGCAGTTTTGGGGTGAGAAAAACCAAAGTTGAAAAATTAGGGTATTTACAACTCTAGTTGACATCTCCTTTTCCTCTGAAACTTCTTCTGGACTTTAACCCTCTTTAAAAAAAAAGAAAATCTTCCTTGCCCTCCATTCTTTTTCTGGCTCCATGTCTCACCCTTGCCAAAACATGCTACTTTGAGAATGTAAGGTTCAACTGCTTTCACATCGCCATCATTTTAATGGAATGGGTTGGAGATAGCGCCTCCCTTGGCAAAACGAGAATGGACAATTCTGCATCTTACTCCTAAAGTCAAGGCCTCTATTAAGCACCTTCCAAACCTCATTTTCAAGGACTTTTCTTGCATTGCTCTGTAACAATGCAGACAGCTTGTATGTTTTCCTTCTTTTGTTTCTGTTGCAGATTAGAAAGGAAGTTTGGTGGCGGTGAGGAGGGAAGAGAGTGATCTGGCGATGGACCACTCTAAATCGCACCCAGTCGATTCTTCCTAGACAGCCATGAGTCAGTCCCCCCCCCGGGGGGCCCTCCCCCTGCCACAGCCGCAGCTTCCGCTGCCACCGCCGCCACCGAGGCTCGCCTGCACCCGGAGGGCAGCAGCAGAAAGCAGCAGCGAGCTCAATCACCCGCTAGACTGAGGGACAATACGGTCCGACAGACCACAGCAGCTACCCGGTCCCCGGTGGGGGCAGGCACTAAACTCAATTCTGTTCGGCAGCAGCAATTGCAGCAGCAACAGCAGCAACAGCAGCAGCAGCAGCAGCAGCTGCAGGGCAACAAGACCGCGGGCCGCGCGGT